CTCCGGTCTCATCCCCCCCAAATCCTCCAGCAGCTCCTCTGCGGCAGGAAGAATGTGACCTGGGGTCCATCAAGTGTCAGGTCCTGAGATATGTATGACCGGCTGGGGGAACGCTAAAGTCCATTTCTATAGAAAACCTTCTAAGCAAAGGGGCTACACTGAGCTGTCCAGGACTGCCTTGGGTGGAGACGCGGGAACGGACCCTGACAGAGCCTTCAGCCCAGAAGGGAGAAGGAAGGGAATGCCTATAGCACCCCCTACTGGCCTTCCCTATGTTGACACCTTTAAGAATACTGCGGTGCCTGGCAGCGTGGAAAATGCAGGCAGCATGTTTATTCCGTGAACTTGGAAGGCTGCATCGGTGGCGTCTTTCTGGAACCCACCGTTGGTGGGATCATCACCTGCCTAACCGCACAGAAGAGGCATCTCTCTGGTCCTCTTTCAACCTGCCTCTCACATCTGACCTGACGTTTCCTCATTTCTACTCTGAATTGTCCTTTGATGCCACAACCTAGCCCCTTCCAAGGCCTTCTCGTCTCCCCTCAAGGGGCAGCCGTCTTTTCATGGGGTTTCCCACCACCTGCCTTCCCACCCTGCCAACAGAGAAGATCGTTTCAAAACAGAGAACACCCCTACCTGCTTCAACCTTGGGTGGCACCTGCTTCTAAGAGAAACGTTGTTTCTTGGTGTGGCCAGGAAAGCTCTGGCAAGTGACTCTAAGCTGCTTACTTTCCAGCCGGCTTTGTTCTCCTTGCCCCTGGAATTCTGCGATAAAGGAAGTCTGTGGACTCCGGGGTCCCCAAACACCCCAGACGCCTCACTCTTCCCTGCCTGCCCGTTCTCAGGTGTTCTCTCTGCCCGGAAGTCTCTTCCTCTACTTGCTCCCTGACCGCCTCTACTCCCCTTCAAGGCCCAGCTCCAGTGCCTCTTCCCTGCCTCTCCCACGGGCCCATGGCCCTGGAGAGACTGTACTGAGCAGGGGTGGTCTGTATCTGGTTTAAGTTTCCTACCAGGAACTGTTGAGGGTAGGCGTACTATCACATTCATCTCGGAATCTTCCATGGCCTGGCACGGAGCTTGGCTTGTAAGAAGCCCTCCAAATTGTGTCCTGAATAAAACGTGTGTCCTCATTGTTTGTATTCAAAGCGATTCTGACCTTCCTATCTGCAGGCATGCTGGAGAGCGAGTGCGGAGGCCCTGTGCTCCTGTCTGAACATATAAATGAGACAGTGACCTCATTTTCTGGGGTTCTGCCCTGGCCTTCCTTGCCTTTTTGGACTGAAGTGCCAGGGCCTTGGTGCCGGCAGAAGCAGCTTCTTAACTACGCAGAGCAAAGCGGGGTAGGGGGTGGGGGGCGGGCGCTGGCCACCCGCTGGGAAGTCTGGGAGCCTTTGGGCCATCCCCGCTCCCACGTCCCCAGTCCACAGGCAGCCCTGGTCCTTGCTGGGATGGCCTTCCAGGTTCTCCCACTGACTTCCGCCTTGGTTCTCAAGTAGGTCTTTCGGTGGGAGGACCGGAAGGGAGAGGGCATTTGGGAGCACCTGCTCCGTCCCAGCCAGTGCCTCGTGCTTCGTGTTACTCATTTCATTCAATCCCCGTGGTAACTCGCTGAAGTGGGTACTTTCTTCCCCATCTTACGGATAGGAAAGGAGGCCCTTGGAGAAGCGAAGGAGGTTCCCCCAGGTCTCCCAGTGAGAGTGGCTGGGGCAGCATAACCCGGGTCTAGACAGACTGTGCCTACTCTCGTTTCTGCTGCTCTGACCCCTGGCCTGGCCCTTCTCCTTCAGCTGAAGATCAAAGAAGGAAACCGTTTTGATAATTGAGAACAGTGGCTTTGGAAGTTTTTCTTTCTTTCTTCCTTTTTCTCTTGCTTCCTTTCTTTTCGTTCCCTCTCCCTCCCTCCTTTCCTTTCTTCCAAACAAAGTCTGACACCGAGCCTGCTACTATAAGCAAGGAGTCTCCCTGGGTAAAGGGTAGGACCCCAGAACCCTGCCCCCCGGCCCCCGTCTGGCTCCTTGCGGTTGTCTGGGGAAACACCTATGGATCCGCAGGGTTCCACAGCACACAGGTTTGCTGCTCAAGAAAAGCTGCTCAAGAAGGCACTTTCCGGGGCTCCCCCTGGTTGACGGCTCCCTCTGCCAGCCATCAGGGAGGGGCAGGGCTTGGCAGGAGACCTGCTTGTGTCTCCTTGCTCCCTCCACCCTCTCACCCTGCCCAGCAGAAGTGGGCATGTGCCCTCTGGGGCCCCCGAGAGTAAAAGAAGACCTACGCCTGCCCTGAGGGGCCTCATGCGGATGTACCTGCGGACTAGCCTGTGGGCTTTCCTTTCCTTTTCCTTCTTCTCCGAGGACTGACAATTGCTTTACCCAAATCTGCTGGGCATGGAGAGAGGGACCCCGCCCCTGGAGGACACTTCAGGCCTGTGCTCTGGTGGCAGGGCTCAGATGAAGGCTCAGCAACGTCACCAGCTGCCAACTGCCTCCATAGTCGTCCTGGTCCCCCTGCCCAGCACACTGCATTCCAGAAGCCTGGTGGGCTCTCTGTGCCTGGGCGTCCTGAGACCCTTAGCTGTGGCTCTGTGTCCCCACTGCTGGTGCCTAAAGGGTCCCACCAATGGAATGCACGCCTCTCTCTGGGCTTCTGACTGCTTTTGTGGCCCCGGAGAAGGGCAGTGGTTTGAGGCAGGGGCTGGCTGTAGGATGGCACGAGACCCGCCCTGCCTGGGTCTGGCCTGAATCGCGGTGCACTCTGCTCGCCCAGGTAGGGACTGGCTGAGTCGGGAACTGGTTTGTTTCAATCCAACTGCAGCCCATCCTCATTCCAGTATTTTAATTATGGCATTAAAGAAATATAAACACAAAAAGGTATGTGCCTTACAAATGTGATTCCGATGTTTTCTTTTGATATTAAATCACATTAATTGCCTCAGACGATACTGATACTCAAACAGAAATCTGGCAGTAGAATCCTGACTGGCAGTCCTGATAATGTGCGCAAGTGGGGGCGGCCATAATGGGGTCAGCGCTTTCCGCACAGCCCGATGAAGGATCCTAGGAGGTGGATGTGGACAGCTCATTAAATCAGAGTAAGGCCAACACTATTGTGGGTGTGGTTGGCTCTGGACCCGAGAGATAAGGGAAGGGACCTGAGGCACCAGAAAAGGCAGATGAGGCGGGTGGAGACGGGTGTGTTCAGAGGGAACTGGATACCAGGGATCCCATGATTCAAGTAGCAGACTGAAAAGCAGCAAAACAAAGTCAGGTGAAATAAGAGTGGGAAACCGCAGAAGAGAGGAGAGAGTGACTCAGGAGAGCTAGAATCACGTGGATGGAGGGCCAGAGGAAAAAAAGAAAGGGTGCCTGTGGAGTAGGGGTGGGGGTAGAAACGAATGGGTACTGGCGGGGCAGGGGTGGGCAAGGGCACACCTAGAAAAACTTGGAGGGGCTCTGGGCCACGGGTCAAGCTCGGGGAAGGCAGAGGAGAGGAGTCAAAGAGAAAGCTGTAGAGAAAGCTAGTGGCCCCCCAGACATTTGAGGAGTGTGCAGGTACCTGCATGATGCGGACATATTCAGTGCGGTGCAGCTCACTGTCCTTGACCACCTTCTTCTTGAGAGTGGCCAGGTTTCTCTCCAGGTGCTCCCGCTGACGGGCATACTCCTGCTGCAGGTCCGTGTTCAGCCCTGCGATCTCCACCTGATGGGGCAGAAAGGGCTTCTCAGTGAGGGAGGGGGACCTGGGAGAGCAGGTGAGTGCGGGGAAAGGGGAGCAGGGCTCACCATGTCTGCCCGCTGCACGTACTTCTCAAAGAGAGCTCGGACCTTCTCCTTCAGGAGCCGGGGTTCCTGAATGTACGCCACACAGTTGTGAAGGTCTGTCTTAAACCGTTTGACCAACGCCTCCAAGTCCCGCTCCTGCAACCACAGGCATATAGTTCTGGCACCCCAGGGGCTCTCCGGGGGGGAAGGCAGATGGCAGCAGGAGGATGAGAGACATTTCCTCTGGGGCTCATGGTTGGCTGCTGGGGCCCACGGTGGACACAGAGACCTAGCTGGGCACACAGCCAAGAGGCAGAGAGAGGTACTAACACCCATGTGCTTCTGCCCAAATAGCTTCATCTTTAAAAGGCCACCCAGAAGATTCCTCCATTGGCTCTGGATTCCTTTCAGGACCACAGGCCTTAAAAGATGAGAGGAAGCACGAGTGGTCCCCCTGTTCCTTTCTGAGCCAAGATGGATAGTATCGCTTCTCTCTTGCAGGTCCCTGGCCAGCATTTCCCTGTCCCCTCTCTGAGCTCACCCAGGGTTTATCCTTCCTGACAGGAGGGCTGCTGTGAGTGGGTAGTGAAAACATGGCCAAATTGGGCAGATTGGTTTCATCCGCACACTTGGGCCGGAGGCTCGCTCTTCCATCCTGCTTTCTCTGATGCCCATCCTCCCGTACCCCTGACCTGGAGGGTCTCTCCTTTCTCTTTGCTCCCGTAGCCCTTTGTTCATCTATCATAACCTTTCATCTTGCTTTAGGATTGCTGTGCACGCACCACAAATCACCTAGCCACCCATTCCATCTGTGAAGGGCAGGATCTGCGTCAGTTCACGTTGGTAGCTCTGCAGCTTCTGTTCTGACCTAGTGCGGAGTCAACGCTTAATGTGGGGGATGGAAAAAATCAATCCGATTCACCAAACATGGGGGGCCCTGTGCTAGGGGTGGGGGTGCAACCAAGTCCTGGCCTGGGACCAGAAGACCTAGTTCTCAGTGCTGGTTCTGAGTATGCTACTTGGCTCTGGGTGCCTTAACCTTCTAATGTCTCTGGCCTTACTTAATTACCTACAGAGACTGGAATAAACAATTTTGAAGGCTCTCTTTGCTTCAGTATGTTTTTGCTTTGTTTCTGATAGTCAAAACCTTTTGCCACTGCCTATAAATGACCTCTCTGAGCATATTCCTTCCCAGGCCAAACAAGCCAATGCTGCAAGCATTCTTATGAAACTGGCCTCCCATCCCCTAGAGCACTTTACCCAAAGTCCTCAGTCTCAGATGGAGGCAGTCACGTACATTTGCATGGGCATGAAACCAGGCAGGGCTGTGAGCAAGTGGAGAGTGAGTTAAAATGGGAATGTATCTTAGCAATGTGCTGGCGCTGTCTCTTGGAAGCCAGCTACCCGCGGCCGACAGGTGCCGGATCCTGAATCCAAGATCTGCCAGACTCTGAAATCCTCACACCTTCTGTCTCTCTCTGTGCATCTCCTGATCAGTGGCTCGTAGTTTCTGCCACAGTTCCGTGATGTTCAGCTCCAGCTGCATGTTCTGCTTATGGAAACGCTCCAGTTCTGCTTCCATCTATAGAGAACAAGGGGGGAAAAGTCAAGAATAAGAAAGTAAGGGAATAAAATTATATTTGGGAACTGCAGCCTTTCAGTGGGGATGTTTCCCCGGCTACCAGGGCATTTCTTTTCTAGCTCCCACCTATGTCCTCTGCAATGAAACCTTTCTTCTTCCTTTTTTTTGAGATTGAGAGAGAGAGAGCGGGCCCACACAGGAGAGTGGCGGGAAGGGGCAGAGGGAGAGAGAGAGAGAGAGAGAGAGAATCTCAAGCAGGCCCCACGCCCGGTGCAGAGCCTGACGCAGGGCTGGATCTCAAGACCCTGAGATCAAGACCTGAGTTGAAATCAAGAGTCGGACACCCCGACTCTTTCTTCTTAACTCCTTGCCATCCCCAAAGCCCCCACCCCTTGGTGGATATATTAAGCCAGACCACATGTTTCTATAACCAGGCTCTGAATTTTTCTTAGTTTCCCTGTTCCTTCAGCCATGCTGATTGTCTTCTTTTCTTGAATTCTTTGTTACTTGGTGACTCTCAATTACTGGAACCTGGAACCTGAAGCAGGGTTCTGCAGAGAAGCACCTTCCTTCCCTACTTTGTGAAATCCTGTGAGAGGATCTTGACTTTTTGGGGCCACAAGCCATCAGAGTCAATCCCACCCTAAGCAGAAAGTTGTAAGGGACCAGCAGGTAGGCATCCTCAGTCTAAGGACCCTCCACCTCAATCATTCTGTTGAAAAGGTCTTTAGAAGTACAACTGAAGGGCACCTGGGTGGCTCAGTTGGTTAAACGGCTGCCTTTGGCTCAGGTCATGATCCCAAGGTCCTGGGATAGAGCCCCATGTCGGGCTCCTTGCTCAGTGGGGAGCTTGCTTCTCCCCTGCCTGTAGCGCCCCCTGCTTGTGCTTGCTCTCTCCCTCTCTCTCTCTCTGTGTCAAATAAATAAATAAAATCTTAAAAAAAAAAAAAGTACAACTGAGGAGAATGTCTCGTCTTCAAAAGAAAAGGAAGAAACCACCAATGAGCTTCTGAAAGATTTTTTATTCATTACTGCATTTGTATTAACCAGAGACTTGTGAATGACAATTGGAGCTTCAGATTAGGATGAGACCAGGTGTATGTGAGCTCTCAGTTGATCTAATTTCTGCCAAAGGCAAAGGGGTGATGTTTGATTGATGCACCAAATCTGGTGCACACTAGTATTCCTGTTAATAGAGAGGTTCGCTATTTGGGGGAGATGGGCTAGTTCACTGGTTTTTTTCATGGCTGGATGGAGTACCTCCTCTAGTCTAGTCCTTTGGTCAGATTTCAAAGCTCCTGACTTCTGGGGTACCAGGAAGGCTGAGTGAGCCACATCCACGTCCTGGACATGAAGGGGCAGCTCGTAGAACGTTATCATTACTGGAAGCATTCTGTACAGACAGAAGAGCCCTTTGACCCAGCGCCTGGCAGGAAGGCAGAGCTCAGTAGCTATTCGTCTGAATGAGTGCGTGCACGGCAAATGTCCAAGGCAAAGGGGAGCCTCTGTGAGGGAGGAGAGGGGTGCTTGAAGCAACCTGCCTTCTGGAAGAAGAGTGAAAAGATAAAGGCACAGTGTCCACCGGGTGGAGGACACAGCAGGTGTGGGGACGTGCGCCGCTAAAGAAAGAACGTGTCCACTGGGGAGGGCTGGCCAGGGCTCGCAGGCCTGCGGAAACGGAACTGATGAAGAGGGGGTTTCTGTCTTCAAGAGCCGCAGGTCTAGAGGGCTAGGAGGGAAGGTCCAGGGAGAAAGTGCCCTCTGCATGCACAGAGGAAGCTAGGGGTGGCACCCAGAACAGGGAGGCTCAGTCAGGTTTTGCGAGACAAATAGGTATATGGGAGGTCAGAGTGGAGAAAGAGAACTCCAGGCAGAGAGAGAGCGCCAGAGGCGTGGGCCGCCTGGTGCAGCTCTGCAGGCTACAGGTGGTCTGGGGGGTCTGCAGGTGAGGGAGGGAGGGGGATGGGGGCCGGAGAGGTTGGCTGAGCTGGGTCAGGTGGCCTGATGCCGAGGTCCTACTGAAGGGAGCAAGACTGGAGCCAGGCAGACCAGTCAGGAGGCGACACGAGGGTGCGAGACCAAGGGAATGGTGGCTGGAAGAGAGCAAGGGGCTTGCTTCTCCAAGGTCATGGCTGAGTGCCTACAGCTGGCTGTGCGTCTTCCTCTGTAGTCTTGAAGCCAGCAACGACCGATTAGGTGAGAAAGGAAGTAATACAGGCAAAACATGAAAACATGCCGAGAACAAAAATGACCTATGTCATAGAAAAATTGTGAAATATGCTGAATTTGAATAACTGGCTGGACAGCTAGGATACAAGCCAGTATGTGGGAACAAGCATCCTTTTCCTGGTGAGGAAATCCCATCTACTTTTCCATGTGTTACTCCTCACACTCAGTGACTCTCAATGGGGGGAGGAGGCAGGAAAGAGGCATTTTACCCCCTAGGGGCCATCTGGCAACGTCTGGAGACATTTTTGGTTGTCACATCTGGGGGAAGAGGAGGGTGGCCCCTGGCATCTAGTGGGTAGACACCAGGGATATTGCTAAATATCCTACAATGCATGGGGCAACTCCCCATAACAAAGGATTATCCGCCCTAAAACATGAAATTGCTGAGGTTTAGGAACCCTGCACTAGATGAGTAAACAAGAGTGTGAAGTACAACGACAAGGTCTGGACACTCTCTGCCTAGGAAGGGGTCCTGTCTCTTCTGGAAAAGTCTATGTTCAGGGAGGGACCTAAATCAAGGAAGTATTAGATTTTCATTCACAGAGGTCTCAGCTCCAGCAACAAGCCAGAGTTTCTTACAGCTTCCTTCTTGTAGGAAAAAGAACTTCACAGGAGACCCGCAGTGGGTGGGCCAAATGGGTCTCTGACCCGCAGAGGGAAGCCCCAAAGTCAGAGGTGCCTGGGGAAGGAATCGGGCCCAGATATCAGCCCTGGTGGCCACTGGCACCAGGGGTTGGGGTAGGAGGGTGAGCCCTGTTGGACTCACCCTCAGGGTGCAGAGACAGGCCCTGCCGAGAACAGGTGGCCCAGTTCCTGATGGGAAAGTGAATAATCCTTCAGGTGTGCTGGGGTGGAAAGTAACCGACCTGGCTGTAAATCTCCCCGACGAATGAGGAGAGGAAACAGGACAGTGATTTTGGGGGGCTGCAGTACATTCACTTTCCAGGCAAGTGGGGCCTCCGCTCTTTTTTGGACTGCCATTTCTGGACCCTGATGTCACTCAAGAATGGCAGGAGGCCCGGATGAGGTGGCTCTGTGGTCAACTGGGAACCTCCTACTTCTTCCCAGAGGCCAGGGAGTAAGTCACTGCCACGAGAACATACCCTCTCTGGACGCTCTGGCCCTGGACGGGTCCCACCACCTGACTTCTTTCCTGGGTCTCCTACAGAAAAGGCTTTGCTTTTCTCCACCATAGCTCCTGGGTATCCAGTTCCACTGAGACCATGGGTGCTCCCTGACACATTTGTATCCTTGCCTGGCACCATCAGTGAAAATGGATGGGGAGCAGAACTGTTGGAGAGCCTTTGGGCTGGCGCTGGGGAGGGAGCCTGGAGACGAGGCTGGAGAGGGGTAGTACCTGGATCATGCAGGGCCCCAGTAGGGAGTGTGGATTTTATTCTAGGTGGGAGAGGACACCACTAGGGGTTTGCTGTGGCCTCTATGTGGAGACCAGACTGGAGGCGGGAGTCAAGTCCAGATGAGAGATGACTGAGGCTTGGATGCAGGTGAGGCAGCAGAGAGGAACGAGGCCTGGATTGGAGCTGTCTCTGGGAAGTCCATCAGATAGGCACTGGCAATCATTTGGATACAGCAGTTAGGGGAAGAGAAGAATCAAGAAGACTCTACCCTTATACCTTAAGCACCTGGGTGGATTGTGGTACCACTTACTGAGAAACAGGAAACAGGAGGAAGGGGAAGTCAGGAATTCAGGTTTTGTTTTTTTTTTTAAGATTTATTTACTTGAGAGAGAGAGAAAGCACGGACACAAGAGTGGAGGAGAGGGAGGGGGAGGAGAAGAGAATGAGAGAGAGAGAGGGAGAGAATCCTTGAGCGGACTCCCCTCTGAGCACAGAGCCTGACCCTGAGATCATGACCTCCACCAAAATCAGAAATCAAGAGTCGGCTACTTAACCAACTGGGCCACCCAGGTGCCCCAGAAATTTGATTTTAGATCAACCATGGACCCCACTGTCAGCTGCAATCTGCTTAAGGAGATGCAACGTGCATGGGGCAGAGGGGCTGAAAGGGGACACTTGTAGCTCACAGGACTCTTAGGAGCCCTTGTCCTGTTGTTGATCTTGCTTTTAATCTCTCCTCTCTACCTTCATCCTGTCTGCTTCCCAGAACACACACTTAAAGCTGCCACTCTCCTCTCAAGAGCCTTCATGACTTCCCGTTCCTCCTCAGATGGATTCCAAACACCGCAGCTTCGCATATGCCCCCACCATTTCCAGACTGAGAAAAAAATGTTGGAGGGGTATGCTTTCTCTTGCAACGGGCTGGTGGCTGAGTACACACCGCCCCCTGGTGGCCGAAGGCCCCCCAGAGCACGCACACTGAGGTGCGGGCAGGGCCCAGGCCCACCCCAACCCCCTGCCGCAAGCCAAACCTTAAAGCGTTTCACTTCTGCACCACTGAACTCCCCGCTGGGCCTTTCCTGTGGCTTCTCCTGCAGAGTGGAGGCCCACACCCCTTGGGAGCAGGCAGGGCTTGTGAGGAGAGCTTTCTCTCCTTGCCCCACCCCAGGCCAGTCAGGAATAGTCGGGAAGGAGACAGCGGTCCAAGAGGCCCGAGTGTCGCAGATGGCTCTCACCTCCTGAATCTGTTCCTTCATCACCTTGATCTCATTCTCTCGTGGTTCTATTTGCTTCTTCAGCTCCTTTATTTTGTAGTCAAGTACAAACTTGAATTTCTCTAGTTCTTGGTTTTTCTTTTTCAGATCATAGATGCGCTTCTCCTGTGGGTGAGATGAGAGAGAAGTGAGAGAGAGAGCAGGAAGTCATGGTATATGGCATCCCCTTTAGGCAAAGGACATCAGTTCTGTGCCCTGGCCGAGGAGGCCACAGACTGCTCTCCTGGCCGGGGATATGAAGGCTGGTTCCCCCATGAGGCTGCAGCCCTTCCTCTGTGGTTTCTGTGCTAGGACTGCATTCATTCATTTATTCATTCACTCATTCAAGTACAGCTTGTAGATGACTGTGTTTTCCAAAGCTGGCCTCCACAGCATCTCTCGTCCCAGAGTCTCTTCTATCTACAATGGGACCGTATGCTTCTCTGTCAGGAGCTAAGATCTAATTCGGTTCTCTTGCATCTGGCTTGATCTATGGTTTGCTTGTAACCCGAAGAACGTGCTCAAGGATGCTGTGTGGCTTCCCAGGCTAGCTCAGAAAAGGCCAAGCAGCTTCCGCCTGGTTCTCTTGGGACTTTTGCTCTGAGGGAAGCCATCTGCCCTGGAAAAAGTCCTGCTACACTGAGACCATCAGGCTGAGGAGCACGCTGGTACTCTGGTGGCCAGTCCTAGCTGAACCCAGCCTTCCAGCCCTCTCCCGGCCAAGGGGCTGGACAGGTGCATGAAGAAGCCACATTGGATACTGATTTTCCAGCCCCCAGCTATTTGAGTCACCCCTGGTTGAGGCTCAGCAAGGTCCCTGCCACTGGGGACAAAGACAAGCCATCTTGTTGTAGCCTGTCCGAATGCTAGACCCACAGAATCTGAGAGCATAATAAAACAGTTGTTGTTTTGCACCACTAGGTGTTGGGATGATTTGTTACACAGCGATAGTAATTGGAATGCAGATCTATCCATCCGTCAAATGTTTACTGAATGAAGACCTTTGGCTGAGATGCCAAATAGAACTATGACACAGTCCCTGCCCTTACGCAGAAAGCACCAGCTGGAAAAGCAGACGTGTCAACAAGTGTAGCCCTACCCTGTGAGAGGTGTTGTAGAAGAGGACAGCGCAGAAGGCACGGTATATACCGAGGGTGCCAAGAATAACCAGCGGTGTGTAAAGCAGTGGTTCACAGGGAAGTGAGAAATGGGGCTGGAGAGGAGGAGGGGAGGAGGCTACGGTCCTGCCTGTTGGGTTCAATGGGGTTCAGAAGGTGTCCAGGAGGCTGGAATTGGCAAACTATGGCCCTTGGGTCAAATCTGACCCGTTTCCAATAAAGTTTTATTGGAACATGGCCAAGCCCACTCATTTATGCGGGGTCTACGGCTGATTTTATAACATAGTGGCAGAACTGAGTAGTGTGACAGAGGCCACACTGTGTGCAAACACGAAATATTTACCACCTAGCTCTTTACAGAAAAACCTTTCCTGCCCCTGCCACAGGCAATGGGGAGCTATGGCAGAATTTTAAGTGGAAGAGTGACACGGTTACAGAGTACGCTGGTGGGGAGCAGGGGTAGGAAGCGGGAAGGAAGGCCGTTGGCTGGAGAGGAGACTGTTGCAATTTTAGGTCAGGAGGCCTTTCCCTCTTTACCCCCCTTTGAGCATCTGAAGAGAGCTTTGGACCTTCCCTACACCAACACCCAGATGCATACACAAACACTCACATGCAGAAATTTCACGCAGGCACAATCCAATTCCCCTTAGCAGACCCCCTGAAGGACCCCACTTCACAGGTGAGAAAATGAGGCTCAGAGAAGTTGCACAAGGTCCTGTGGCCAGTAAATGGCAAACCTGTGCTGGAACCCAATTAACCAGTGTGGAAGCCCATGATCTCAACCACTGGAGAATTCTGCCTGCCTGAGGCGGGAATGGTGAGGGGATGGGCAGGAGGGCACACAGCCTGGATTTGCTTAGGAGGATCCAAAATTTTGGTAAGCCTCACAAAATGTGACGTGTCTGTCTTCTAAGTGTTTTGTAAGAATCGCACCCTGAAAAGGGATACCAGCTTTCTGGGGCACCCAGCAGTTGTAGGCCAACCACCGGGAGGGGCAAGGAGGTGGGTGGGCTGCCCCCCGTCCATGGGCACAGTCACCCGAGGATGCCTGGAGCAGTGGAGAGCACGGGCCCTGCAGTCGGCTGACTTAGGTTCTTAGCCCAAGTCCGCTGCCTATAGACTATATGATCTTGGGCAAGATACCAAACCACCTGGAACTCAGTTTCCTGAGCTCTACAGCTGGGGCCCTTGTGGCCCCTGGGGTTGCTGGGAAAATGGAGTGTGGCGTGTTTGCAGCAATCAGCTCAGTACCAAGTGCACAGCAGGTACTTCGCAGACCACTCATCCCCCATCAGGTTCCATGAATGTGTTCCAAGCATCCAGGGGCCCTGTGTTCTGAGCTTTCTCCTCATCCCCTGGGTCCATCTAGGTGGTGGTTGAGGGAGGACAGAGATGAGCCTTCACCTTATCTTGAATCGTCTCGTCTCTTTCCTGGATTTCCCGCTTGAGGCCCAGGATGTCCTTCTCCAGGGACTTAATGACCCCTTGCAGCTTCACCTGCTCCCCCTTCAGGCTCTCAATGTCATTGGTTCGCTCTTCGATCTCCTTCTGCAGGCTGCTGAACTGTGGATACAAGTGTAGCAACAGAGACAACAAAGTCTTTGCAACCCCCCCCACCCGCCTCCCAAATGTCTGTACGCTTACAGACTCCCCATCACCAACCTGTGACCCGGACTCTCCACCCTTGTGAGCTGAAAAACACACCTAGCACTCAACATTTCTGGGCTTTGAGGAGTGAATTTTTGATTTGGGACAGGTCTGGGGATTTCCTAGGCCACATGAATGATGTAGCATCCTGCCTGGGAAGATCCAGTCCCATTCCCCTCTGTGAGGATGGACTGTCCAGGGCAAGAAGCTTGGAGACCAACTCCCCTGGACCCAGAGTTTTCCATGACCACACCAACCTTGAAAGGTGGGGATCCGTGCCCCTTCAAGGTCATAGATATTGTAACGGATGAGCCACCTTGGCCATGTCTAAGAAGGGAAGATGACATTGTCCCTGACTGATAAGCAGTGTGATTTCTAACGGTAAGGAACGTGAGTTTGCTTTGAAGTTGGCTTCTCTAAGGCTAAACGTTTTGGGGAAACTGGCAATTCTACAAGGATCTGTGAGCCCTTCGCCCCACCTTGTAAACTAAGCATACTATGCCTTAGTCCTTCTCCCACCCAGAACTCCCTGCACCGAGAGCCTAAGGACACCTCTAGGACTTGACCTAACTTCCAGAAGTCCTCATCTCCATTTCTACCAGAGGTTTTTTTTTTTTTTTTAAGATTTTATTTATTTGACAGAGAGAGACACAGTGAGAGAGGGAACACAAGCAGGGGGAGTGGGAGAGGGAGAAGTAGGCTTCCCACGGAGCAGGGAGCCCGATGCGGGACTTGATCCCAGGACCCTGGGGTCATGACCTGAGCCGAAGGCAGACGCTTAATGACTGAGCCACCCAGGCGCCCCTCTACCAGAGGTTTAACTCTGAAAACTGACTGAATCCTACTTGCCCATAAATGAAAGCCGGGGGCGTCCATCAGTGTCAGGGTGAATGTTGTTAACGCTGTGAAAAGGACAGAGAAGGGAGAGCCCCGAGGAGGGGTGGGAAGGGTGTGCCTGCCTGGCAGGGCGGAGGTATTCTGGGCAATGCAGCCCTTGCCTGAGCCCAGGCCTGTCCAGAACGGCGCCATACCTTCTTCCTCATGATGCCCGTTTCTCCTTTGAGCCGCAGGTTTGATTCCTTCTCATCCCGAAGCTTTTTCTCGTACTTGGTTTTGATATCTTGGATTTCTCGGTCTTCATCCTCTTCAATCTGTTTCTTGGTCTCTTCAAACTCCCGCAGCTGCTGCCTGACATCTTCCTGTGCCTGGCTCAGAGAAGGGAGAAGGGACACACGACACTTTCGTGCTGCCCGGGCCCGGGAGAGGTGTACATGGGGCCTATCGTGCGGAATGGGAGGGCAAGTGTTATTACAGACATGGGAACCAAGGCCACGGGCCCCCAGACCTTCCACTGTCCTCCTGTCTGTCCTCTGTCTTCCCTTCTCTCCCTGCCGGATGAGGCCGCAGGCTCCATCACTTCAACCACCACCTTCCTGACATCCTCATACCTGCCCCACCGCTGGTCTCCTTCACCCCGACACCCACGCTTCCTCTATCTTTCTCTCACTGAACTTGGGACAGTTGTAACTTTATATTTGCGGAACTACTTGATTGCCTTTCCCATTAGATAGGAGGTCCTTAAGGGCAGACACCCGGTCTCTCATGCCCACCACTGCGTTCCCAGACTACAACCTGCCCGGGCACACAGTAGGTACTCAGTCGCTACCTGAACGAGGGCATCTTGAACTCTGCCCTCCTGCTCCTTAATCCAGTCCCCTGCACGTCCCCCAGCACTTTATGTTACTGATGCCTGTTTGACAGGACCCTCCACTGGCACGGAAGCTCCTCAATGGCGGGGTCACATCCCTCTGCTCACCTCTGGGGACCCCCTGCCCAGCAGCTGGTACGTAGACAGTGAAAGCCTGGAGCCCGGATGCTGGGAAAACTAACTCCGCCTGCCTGGCGGTGTCTGAGAGGTGACTCGGGCGTTCCTCCTCTTTGCCCCCAAGTGGTGCGAGTTATAGATTAAGTCAGAGTCCACTGTTTTCCCCTCACACCGACCCTGGCATGCTCGCGAGCTGTACCATCCCTGGAGTGAGTGCTTCGGGGGCTCAGAGAGACAAGATGGTTTTAAAACTGGGCTCCCAAGGAAGGCTGCTCTCGTTCCCCATCACGTGTCCCCAGACCCTTGCTAGACAGAAGCCTGGGGCCGTGTGCTCCATCTGCATCCCAGAGTCACCCGTCAGCCACCGCTCTGGCTCTGGTAGATGTAGCTAAAAAGGAAAGTAGGCCAGCCAAGTGGGCGAGGAGGCCTGCCAGGTGGGAGCTCCCTAGGGAAGTTCCGAGTTGAAATCTTTGACTCAAAAGAAGAAACGGGTTGTAATCACTGTGGGGGTCCTGGGAGGAAGGCCAGCCTCTCTCCCCTCAGGGCAGATTCATCCCCCTGCCCAAACCTCAAGCCCCCAAAGGCAAAGCTTAGATCAGTCTACTGGAAGTGGACAAACATTTCTGGAACATGTAGGACGTACCCCCCCGCCCCCATCCCTTGCAGGTTTTGAAAATCGCTGATGGGTGAGACACAGTCCCTGCCCTTGAGAAGCTCCCAGGCCGGGGGGTGGGGAGAAGTAAAGGCAGGATGCTACTGCATAGGACATGTAAGAGCAAGGAGTCTAGGGGCCCTGAGGACACAGAGGAAGGCTGCTTAGCCCTGTGGGAGGGGAGACAGGCAGTGAAGAATCCCTCCAGGAGTTGGCTCTCGTCCTAAGTCTGTAAGGGGGAGGACCAGCGGCCAGGAATCATCCAGAGCAGAGGCTCAGAGGTTGTGTGGGGAACTTGGCTACTCCACGTGGGTAGATGGGAGCGAGCTGGATGGCAGCAGCGGGGACCAGGGCTGGGAGGTGGGCAGGGACCTGAGACCAGAGCTGGGAGGCCGGCAGGGCCAGGCAGGGCTGGGGCAGGGAACATTCCCAGTGTGGCTGTCAGAGCTCAGCCTGCAGAGGCTCAAGCTGTGAGGAGCCCTCCACCCTCCACCTCCCACCTCCTGTATCCCCCACTGCCTACTCCCTTCCCAGCTCCCTGAAGACTTCTGGGCGCCGACTCAGTCCTCCTGCCGTTAACTGAGGGAGGGGACAGAGGGTCCTGTAATGTCCCAGGGTGCTTTGAGCCCTGTCTCACCGTGGCCTCAGCCACCCACGCTCAGGTCCAGTCCTGGAATGGGGCCACATGTGAAACCTGAAAATGCAGGCCCTGCCCTCAGCACTGGTGATCTCCCTGTTGGACCCCAGGTATCCGGCACAGCTCTCCAGCTTGCCATGTCCCCCGGCCCTGTCCCGATTCCCCCACTGTCTTCCAGGCTCTCAGTTCTCTACCCCTCTCTGGCCCGGACCTGCTGGCTGCTCAGCAGATGACCTGTGTCTGTCTGTGGCACCGCTCAGTAAAACCCCAGCCAGGCAGCAGGGCTGCTCCACGTCTTCCTCACTCGCCGTCCTGCTTGCTGAGCCCTGCTGTGGAAAAGCACGCGGCCCGGCGGACGAAGGCTGCCAGAATTCAGGTATACAACCTGGGCTGCACATTCAGCTACGCACCTGCCGGTCCTTTTCTCCGTCGCCCCCTGCCTCCTTCCCTCCAAAACCCCTTCCACAGCTCCCTGGCTCTCCTGCCCCTCACTTACGGTGTGCCATCTGCTGCAATTTCATGTGGAAAAGGCGGCCATCTGGCTCTTCTCAGTTTTCTTTTCATCTTGGGAAACTAGATATTTTGGCAACCCAAACTGCTTGAACGTTCTCTGACTTGGCTCTGCCTGCGTGCCCTTCCCTCCTGCATTTCCCCCGTCTCCTGTTCATTCCAGCTTCAGTTCTTCCTGGGCCTCCTTAGCTCCTGCAAGCCGGCCCTGCCCTCTCCGGGCGGTCTGCGTCCCCCAGCTATCCTGTGTGCCCCTCTCCAAGGATCCATCTGTGTGACCACCTCCCTCACACAGCTGAAAACTGGGCCCCCAGTCGTTATTTCTCTTGGTCACCCAACACTCAAGCTGGTAAACCATTAAGATACCATCTGGGTTTGTTAAATCAGTGAAGGAATGATTTCATCTCGTAAGACATAAGAAGTGGCTAAAGGGTTTCAGGCAACCACCTGCCCCATCGTTCATGGCCCTGGTTCCTCTCTAGGTCCTACCGACTTCTCCTAAAAAGGTCTCTCCAGTCCTTAAGGCTTGAAGGTACAATTAGGATAGAACAGCAGATATGAACATAGCCTGTCTACAGAATTTCAGTCCCTAAAGCTGAGCACCTCCCAGCTCACTGGGTTCCCTGGTCTAGAGGGAAAGAAATGGTAATGAGCAGATGCCAAGGCCAGATGCACGCATGCTGAAGGGAGGGGATGGAAGGCAAAAGTGAGGCTGGCTTTCCCCACAGCTCTCCGGGCTGGTCACAGGCCAGGCCTGCAGGATGCACCGTGAAAGGGAGGTGCAGGTCAGCTTCTGGTGAGTACCTCTTCCAGAAGGGTGGTTTTTTCCTGCAGTTTGGCCTCGTAAAACTCAGTCAGCTCCTCCAGGGCCTGGCTCTTGGTCTCATCGTTATCCCGAAGCTGTTTTTCATACTCTTCCTGCATCCTCTGGGATTTGAGCTGCAATTCCTGGTACTTCTCATATTCTAGAAGCAACTTTTGGTTGTTGCAACATTCTGGAGAGAAGCAAGGATGGTTATTTCATGTGGGACAGGAGCCTTTGAGCTCTCCCACTCGCAGCCAGCAGCAGCTAGGGCAGGTGCCTTCAAAGCCACGAGGCAAATGCCTGCCCAGCTTCCTCACCTGCCCACACCCCACCAGCTCATCAGGCAGCCAAACGTCCCCACAGTGTCGGCTAGGCAGAAGGTTTCCAGGAAAGGGCAGAGGGATGTTTGGGGGTTCAGGGCGAAGAAGAATGTCTTGAATATGCAACATAGTTAGCAGCAGCCCTGTTTTACAGAAGAGTAAACTGAGGCTCAGTGAGGTTAGGTGACTCCCCAGAGCACCTAATATGGTTGGTGAGTCTGGGACCCATGATAGCCTATCAGGCTCCAGACCCCCACTCTTCTCTATCTCCTGTTGGCATGCAGTAAGGGTTTAGTACATGTTTAACGAATGAGCAAATACACAGGAGTAAAAACCACAATGAGATCCAGGGCATAAATGCAGCGTGTGGACAGATAAAGCCAGATTACCTGGGACTTCTGTGGGATCCGGGGGACTCTCAGACTTTTGCCCCCACCCAACCCCATGGCCTCTACCTGGGTACTCACCCAGGTCCTGCAGTTCACGGTTCTGTTTGTCTAGCAGGTCCTCAATGCGTTCCCGATGGGACACATCCTGCTTTTCTTTTTCTGTTCTTAAAACCTAAAACACAGAATGGACTATTCTCATTCCCACACATCTGCTGAAAGCTGCCTTAGGGCAAGAGCACATTTTATAAGTGACATCCTCCTTCACTCACAAATATTTCTCAAGCCCTTATTTTGCACCAAGCGTTGTTCCATGAGCAACAAGCAAGCTATCACTTTTTCTTTACATTATATTCTGCTCTGAAAGTTCTAGACTTTCTCTATTTATATCCTTTCTACTAGATGGGTCTTGTCAATGATGAGTTCGGTTTTGGACATGTAGCAGATGGATTTTGGGGTGGAAGAAAGTAAAGATTCATTTGAATTCTCTGTTGTCTGCATGTTGCTGTCAACTAAATTCTTGGATGTGCTAATGTGTCAGCTTCTAAGGAGTGTTTTCTTTAATCCAGCAGGAAAGCTCCTTGCAGGCAGAGGGGCCGCCCCCAGGAATAACTTTGTGTTTAGCTTATGGAGGGCCCCACAGCAATGTTTGTTGACTAAAGGTAATAAAACTAACAGCCAGGGACTTTTTTTTTTTTTTTTTGGTCAAACTCTCTGACCTGTGGAGATAGCATAAAAAACAAATACCCTCTGAGCCAAAAATTGGGGGTTTTGGATGAAGGGCAAAACAGATATGTGGAGAATAAGGAACTATTCTGGGTGAGTTCTGGATCAAATCTAACTACAGGAGGACCATTTAGACTAATTTTATTTAATCTGCTGACGATCCTGAAATTCTGGTAGCTCTTTTTCTATCCTTTGTTTTTCCTATGACCTTTTCATTCTGTTTTTAAGTAAGTTTCTCTTGATCATAAAGATAATATAGTCTCATTGTAGAGGATTTGCAAAATACAGAAAAGTATAAAGAACAAAATTGCAATGATCCAGAATCCCAACTTCCAGAGGTAATCACAGTGCTAGCTATTTTCTTACGAACTGATCTATGTGTATTTATTTTACTTGATTAATACCATTCACTATAGAGAGTTTTATATTCTGCTTTGTTCCACCTGGCACTTTGCTGTAAGCATTTCTGATGTTATCAACTATGCTGAAAAATCACACGTTATCATATGGTTCATTGTTTGAGCGTAGCTTGGATAGTGTACGCCAGTTCCATCTTGAGTAAATTGAAAACGTCTTGTTATTTGTGGGTGTTGACTGAGTCTCTCAAACAGACCTGGTTTTTCGTTTTCAAGGACTCCATTTCCTGGAGGAACTTATCTGTTAGCTCCTTAATCTTCTCAGAGTAGTTCATGTCCTTCAGTCGAAGCTGATACTCATTTTCCATTTTTAATTCTTCCACACGAGTCTTTAGCTCCAACATAATCTGAGCCTTTGGGAGAAGGACACCAGAATCAAGAACATTCACAGTGTGGGTGAATTAGAATATTTAAACTGGTAGCCTTGAGCTCTCTGAGATCTGTGGCTCCGCCCAGCCTCAAACTCATGTGTCTCCACTAGAACTTGTCATCTCTTCCCCACAAGACACCTGGACTAAAAACCAGGAGACATATGAGCTTCTTCCTCTGCCCTCATGACGTCCATTCAGTAAGCCCCGCTGTGCGCCAGGCATGACGCTAGTTCTCTCATCTTCAAATATGTGTAAATGCCACCTGCTCAGTGAAGTCTACTCGGGCCAAACTAGTTAATCCTGTGACCCTTCCCTTCCCATTCCCAGCACTCATGACCCTGCTCACTCTGCTCTACTTTTTACTATTTTCTTAGATCTAGGCACTTTCCAATACAATTT